CCACGGGTGCCGTGCCGCGTGGCAGGACCGAAGGCATGGCCTTGCGGGCAGCGCACAGGCCGGTCCTCTCCACGTCCCCCAAATCCCCTGTGCCCCCCGCCTGTTTGCAGACAAGTTCAGCTTTGCCAACGGCACCGGCAGCAGCAAGAAGAACAAGCGCCGCAACTCGGTCGGGCGCGCCATCAGCCCGCGGTCGCGCCGCCGCTGAGGGCCCGCCCCCCCCCCCCCCCCGCCCGCTGCCATCGATCAGTTGAGAGCCCCTTGAGCTGTGAGCAACCGAGAAGATCACATTCCAAACCCAATCTAATCCGCGCGGCGTCGTGTCCACCCCCGCCGCACCAGCTAGCCGCTGCGTGCCGCCCTGTCTCCACAAATGTGGCATCACCCCTCCGGCCCGCCACCTTGCCTGCAGCCAGAATGGTTGCCAGGGCTCTGCCGCCTTTTGCATCTCCTTTCCTTTCATGCCTGCCCCCCGTGGCCCTTTTCTGTACTGTCCTCCCGCCGCCTCTGCATTGCATTGCACCCCAACCCTTCATCACTGTCCTTTTCCACGCCCGCCGCCGCCGTGCGTGCCCCCCTTTTTGCCGCTCCGGCAGGGCAGCGCCGCCAGCTGGGCGCCACCTCGGTACCGCTCCTGTCGCCGCCTTGGGCGCGGCACGCTTGGGTGCGCTTTTGGCCCAGCACCCGAGTCCCTCCACCCTCCAGATGGTTTTGGTGTTTGTCCAGCCAGGGCGAGACGTAGGCCCCTCTGCCCCCGCCATTGCTTGCAATTCTTTCCACACGAACGCAGGTGCCCTTGCCGGACCTGCCTGCCGCCACACGGATTCTTGGATTGCTGCCCGGCTGCCAGCCGGGAATGTTCTCTGCCTGTTCCTCCTGTTGTGCCGCCCTTTGTACCCTGGCGCCCTTTTGTACCTGCGCCGCGGCCTCCTGTACCTTCCCTGTTGTTGTTGTCGCTGTTTCCAATGTGTAAATTAGCCATCCAACCCTCAGGAGAAGGCACCATGGTACAGAAGGCTGCCGGCGAGGAGTGAGGAGCGATGCAGCCTCCTTTGTAGCGCCCTCCTCTCACGACTCCGCTGTGTGGCCAGGCTCGGCTGCTCCATCCGCCCCGCCTGCCGCTCCTGGCACTGCCTTGGGTGCCGGGGCCGCCTCGGGCTGCCGCGCCTCCTCCCCGGCCCGCACTGTGGGATCGCCTGTCGTCAGCTCCACGTCATCGGCTGCAACAGCGGGGGCCATCACAGCCAGCCTTGAAGGCCAGCCTCCTGCATCCCGCTGTCCCCCAGAGTAACCGAGGGTAAAGCAGCAGCGAGCTGCTCACCGGTCGCGTCAGGAGCGGCGCGTGCTTCGCCGCCGCCACCGGCCCCGCGCCGCCGCAGCTCCTCTTCGACTTCCTCCACCAGGTGCCCCCTCTCGGGCGGCACCTCTGCTTCTGCACACGCGAGGGGCCAGGGGGTGAGCTCTGGCCCTCGATCCAAGGCTGCCCTTGAGGCAGGGAGGCAGGGAGGCACGCGCACCGATGCTGCGCTGCGGCGACGCCGACCCCAAACTCATGGCTTGCGGTGCTATAAACCAAAAGGGTTGTGTGCGACATGCAACAAACACTGCCTTGAGGTACACAAGGGCAGTACAAATGTGGCTGCATTATTACATATGTAAAAAGAATTGCAGACAGGTAACCTTATCACACGTGTTCATAGGTTTGAAGATTGAGCACTTGGAAATGAAAGCAGAATGCAAGAAAAAAAGTCATAGGCATTGAACGGCACATATAGGTGTCACGTCATACGTAGGAGGGATGTCACTGTTCCAATGAAATATCAGAGGTGCGCTCACACATCGACCCTTGTTGAGTTCTACTGCGTGTGCGCTGCTTCACCGCCCACGCGCCTTGGAAGGCTTCGCCGCTGTGGCGGCCCCGCAGCTGCAGTGCACACGGTGGAGTGGCAGCAGCACCCTATGTGGGCGGCGGCAGCAGCAGCGCGGCATGCCACTCACAAGTCCCGCCTGCTCCAGCATGACACATCAAATGTGTGCCAGCGAAGCCATGCATGCCCCTACCTGTACTGGAAGCTCAGGGTCTTGGGCACCCCTTTGCACCGGTCAATCCCAAACTTCTGGTCAACGGCGGCCACAGAGCATTCGTGATGCCGGAGGCACTTGGTGGCAACCGCCCTGCATGCAGGAGAGGCGCGGCGGCGGCCACGGGATGAAGCCCCGAGGAAGGACGGCAGCAGTCACATTCTGGTGCTGCTGCCCTCCTGGCCGGGAGCCCAGTGCTGTCAGGGCAGGCCGAGGCGCAGCGCAGGAGGGCAGCATGCCTGTAGCTCGCGGTGGAGTTGCACTTGTGCGAGATGCTGCCGTAGATGGGGCGCACAATGGAGGTGATGACCTGGTTGGTGGCGGGGCAGCGTGCCACAGCCAGGCGCCCCTCCCTGGCGCTGGCCGTCCGGAGCGCCACTGCAGCAGCAAACTTGAGTGGATGAGCAGGGGCGCGCAGTTCAGGAGGCTGGCTGCCTGGCCTCCCAGCACACAACAGACCTTTCGGAGGTTGTGGCTTTGGCTTTGGCTTTGGCTTTGGCTTTGGCTTTGGCTTTGGCCTTGGCTTTGGCTTGGGAGCAGGCTTTGGTTTGTTGGCTGGTTTGCCACACCTGCAAGAAGGTCAGCGGGCAGCGTTGGGCAATCAGCTGACGGCCAGAGCATGGGACATAGTGGCGCGGCTTTCATGCCACCGCTGTGTGTCTGACGCTGCGTCTGACCGGTAGCCCAGCCGCAGCGACTTGGGCACGGCTGGGCAGGGGTTGCCAAACTTCTCTTTGGTGACCGTGAAGATGCAGGTGGCCTTGCGCAGGCACAAAGCCGACACTACCCTGCACAGCAGCGACAGATGGGGGCGGTCAGGGCCCATCCATCCTGGTACATCGGGAGCGCTGGATGAGGAAGCCCTGCCGCTCATCGCGACGCATGGGATCAGGCGCTGCTACACGTCGCGGCCCCTCCCCCACCCCAGCAGCTCGCCTGGGGGCCGCAGGCGAGCTGCACCCCTTGGACGGGTTGCCGTAGCGAATGCCCCAGAGGTGGATGATCACCCTGCCGTCTGCGCACTGCAGGCGGATGGTGCGGCCATGCCACGCCTCCACCGTTCGCGCAGCAGGGATGACCTTCTTTGGGGCTGGGGAGGTGGGGCGGGGCCTGCACTCCAATGCAGCGGCAGCCAACGGCCGCTGGAAAGCACGCACATGCACCGCAAGTCGCACAGGGCAGCTCAGGGCCCAGCTCAGCTCATGGCGCTGCTGGGTGGCAGCTGCGCACTTTGCCGGGGCGGGTGGCGGCACAGAGTTTCGAGTCATGTTGAGCAGCGACAGCCGCGTCTTCTTGTAGATGCTGGCCAGGTGGGTGAGGTTGGCCGTGCCCCCAGACTCCAGCCACACCAGGCATGCGGTGGCGTAATCTGCGGGGCGGCGCAGCGGTGGAGTGCCGAGAGGATGCAATTTTAAGTGACAGTTGCTTGGCAGCTGTCCACACCTGCTGGGCAGCCAACCGCCAGACGCGTGGCCGCTGCATGCAATGCCGCCAGGCGGCGGTGGCAGCAGCACGCCGCGCAGCGCGGCGCGGCCGCGCACCGTGCATGCTCTCGTGTCGGGCGTCGGCCGCGGTCAGCTCCTGGAAGATGAGCGAGGTGCGCAGGTTGAGGTTGAGGGAGTGGGAGTTGGCCATCCACGGCAGCAGCTCGTACACGGCGCGCGTCCAGCCGTACACCTTGGACCCCTTCCTGTTGTAGTCCTTGGGGTCCTGCACCACCCACCCCTCGGCGTCCAGCAGCCCGACCTGCTGCAGGGCCTGCACGATCAGCACGCTCTGCTGCGGCGTGATGACGGGGATGCGGTCCGACAGCGTGGAGGGCCGGATGATGCGCTCCGGGGACTGCACGGCGGGGCGGGCGGCAGGCGGCGGCAGGCGTCAGCCACCGGCGTGTGGCGAGGCGCAAGCCAAAGCAGCCACCTCTGGAGCTGCCATCTTGCAGCCTTCCCAGGGCGCAGGCGGAGGAAGCGCTGCCTGCGATGCCGCCCCCGCAGTGCAGCCTGCCTACCACGACATAGCTGCTGGGCACGTTGTTTTGCCTCAGGAGGTCGACGCACACCGGGGCCTGGCTCACTCCCCAAGGGTCATCCTGCATGCGCAGGGGGATTTGGGAGCGCCCATCAGTCGCCCTCAGCCGGACGACAGCTGCCAGCGCAGCTGAAAGGCCCAGAGGCGAAGCAGGTGCAGCGGGCACAGCAGGCACAGCATGAGCGCACCGCCATTGTGACGAACAGGGTTGGGGGGTAGACCCCAGGGGGCACGCGCAGAGTGCGGCCATCACGCTGGAACACAGACCAGGTGTTGACAGAAGGAGTGGACACCACTGCAGCAGGCAGGCACAGGCAGGCAGAGCCGGTAGGGGCCCATCAAGGGAGGCGGCGCGCAGCAGCGTGCTCAGGCTGGGCGGTCCGGCTTGCGCGGGCCAGGACGGCTGCTGCTTCAAGGGAGAGGCACCCACCTGATACCACGCCCCTCAGCTTGATCACGTCCAGCTTGGCGTAGGTGACAGCTGCAGGGGGCGGGTGGGAGGCACGGCGGCCGGGGTGGCATCAATCGGTGT